GAGAAGCCTTTTGCATTCTTGTTTTATATCTCTTTTAAAGAAAGCATAAGCTATTGGGTTTATTCCAGAGGTAATAACTTGTAGAGGTATTTTGTAACGAAAATCGTTACATGATTGACTAGTTAAAAATAACAAAGTACAACGCATCATTATTCCGTAACACGATAGAAACACACACGTTATCAAAGCCACCCATTTTACTGCTGATGTGTTCTGAGTTTTAGCTCTAGCGACCACATAATTAAACCGCAATTGCTTAGCTAAAGTGCGATCTCTAGATTTGAGACTGTAAACAACAAGAAACATGGATGCAAGAAAAAAGATTAAAATTATGCACAAGATTATCTCGAAGAGCAAACCCAAGTAGCTGCTGAAATTCCCGGAAAGATCGATTGCACTCAGTTTAATCAACGAAACTAAAGTAAGAGTGAAAAGAAAAGGAATTCCCCAAGATGTTAGAACCATTTGAATGACTCGACGGCGCTTCATAAAAGTCAAATATTTCAAAGGTTTCACAACAGCAATATAACGTTCCAGCACTAAACTAACCAAGTTTGTTCCAGAGGTGTAAACAATGAAAACCCTTACAAATATCACAATTGATCCCTCTTTTGAGCGAAAAGCGCATTCGGTTGCAAGGCTGCAGACAAATTGTGAAGGAACAGCAAGCATCCCTACACCAAAATCAGCCATTGCTAAAGACACGACAAATGCGTTGGTTTTGGTGCGAAGCTGACGTTTACTGCAGACGAGGAAGATGACAAATCCATTTACAACCATCGTGAGAATGCTGAGGAACCAGCCGAGAACCCATTTCCATTGAATTTCTTCCAAATGGTTGTCTACGACTTTTCAATTGCTTTCTTCGGTGAAGCCAAGAGTGTTTTGAAAGGTTTTAAGGATGAAAAGTGTAATTGTGTTTATATAGAGTTTTTAATCAACCATCTGGCCCCATCCAACTACGCAAAAGTTAATTAGGGCAATATATATGCTGTTTAATTAAGTCATATTCAGGGCTGCAAATATCCATAACTTCATAACGTTCTTGTGAGACGCTTCGTGCTCGGAGTTTGACGTCTGTTTATTGGTTTTCAAGAAGAATAAATCAATTGCGATCAGAAATTGATGACAAACGTGGAATATTTATTGACTCTATCTTCTAATGTGTTCTAATTCAAAGAAAATTACGGCAGTCCTTTTTTTAGACATCAGCACAGCATGATAGTGCAAATAAGAATTAACTAATTAACCAACAACAAATATTTCGAATAACAATAATTTCAAAATTATCAATCAGTCAGTGTTAAGCGTAAATCACTCCCTTTTATTATCAAGCTAAAGACGTTTTCAACAAATAAAGAAGCCTCGAAGTACTGTTCTGTTGTAAAGCACTTCTGAAGCGGCGTTGTTTGTATTTTGAATCGCCATACAGGCTCGTCAAAATACGGCACAACTCGCAAAAATACTCAGCGATACTATACACCAAAACGTCTAATAAGATGTATTTATCCACAAAGGTCATCGTGTGCAAGACTTGTGGGTCAAGTGCTTCACTTTTCTTTATAACATAGCTAGTAAATTTGTCTAATCAAATTCAACTGCGCAAGCGTGCTTCATATTCCTGTTGTGCACGCTCGTGACGTCAGCAAACAAATCCCTCGAGAAAAAAAAAATTTCCATCGAGTTGAAAATGTTACAAAACAGTTGGTTCATACGTCAACACTGACGTATGAACCAATTGTTAATTAAAAAATTGTTCGCTAAACACACAAGCAGAAATTAAAAGCATTCCACAAAGATTTATCAAGAATACGTAGTACTATAAAATTTTCTGAAGGCGTTTGCCTTTGACAGTCTCTCTTGACATACGACCGATGGGATTACATGATTACTAATTTGTGCTATTACCTACAGGTTGCTCCGTGTCATTTGAGGCTAGGAGCTCGTTTCCATATTCGTTTTAAACGTCATGCAAGACGTGTGAGTCAAGAACGCCACTTTTTAATGAAAATTTTTGTGTTAAAAACACGAGCAAAACCTGTCACGAAGATTCTTCAAGAAAACTTTGCTGTGAACTTTCCAGAAAGCGCCCGCCTTTCTTCGTAAGAGCGGTCTGGTCGATTTCGCTCGAGAAACAGAGTAGAGAGGTTGGGGGGAGGGGGTGAGGCCAAAAATGCGTCTGATGGCAAAACTTAAGACAAAAATC